AGGCAGGTGGTGTCGGTTGCTCCTGGGTCTGCTGCAGCAGGAGTTGGGTTGAATGGGAACAAGCAGAGCCCTAATGGGCTCAGGCCATGGTGTAGCACAGTGGCTGCAGCTGGGAGCAAAGCAGAGGGAACTGTAAGTAGGTGTGCAGCATGGGACGGGGGGCAGCGGCAGCCTGCTCTCTTTCTGCACACAGATCCAGGGGCACACATCCCCTGGGAAGAGCCTGGCACAGGCCGCTAGTCCACAGCCCTCCCGGGGTGCACGTAGCAGCAAGAGCCACACACCCCCACACTCCCCGCCCCACACCCACTGATAGTTCCCTCTGCTTTGCTCCCTGCTGCAGCCCCTGGAACAGCCGATGGACTGCACTGCACCCCTCTCCCCACCCCTTCCCTCGTCCCAGCCTCACTCCCTCCCTCCCTCACTGCCCTGGGAATGTATCCCTATTTCTTACATTATAAACTGGGTTCCCTTTATGTGAATTATGCAGTTTTCCAGGAACGCATGTATCACATAAATTGAGGGAAACCTGTATTAAGCAATTTGGTTATTACAAGAATCACACCTCATTTTAAGCATTAAGAAGCTCTCTCTACCTGAGGCATGACTACAAGATGTACAGCCTGATGGAAAGAACACTGGTGCTTCTCAGAAGTGGGCTCTATTGCAAGTTATGCCACTGGCCTTTTGGGTAACTGGCCAAAGTTACTTCCCATCTCTGAACCTCAATTTCCCCATATGTAAACTGAAGATGATAATTAGGGATCCTGGTTTTCCCCATCTAAAAAAATCCCCAATTTTCAGTTAAAAAAAAGTAACCCCAAATCCACATTTTTCTGCGATTTAAATGAAACACTAATAGACATGGGTGACTGGTGCCACCTTAGTCAAGGGGGAGGAGGTCGGGGAGTGGAACATGTTCTGCTGGGACCAGTCCCACTGACGGGGGCAGGGGTCCCCCGCGGTTGATCTCACTGCCCAGGGGAACCCCCGCAGCCAATTGCTGCAGCCACTTCCAGGAGTGGCTGCACTGATCGGTCAGCACGACCAGTCAGGGGGTGCACCGGCACTCTCAGGGGGTGCACGTGCCCCCCAGTGCACCCCCTATGCTTCGCCACTGCTAACAGACAGAGACAAAGCAATGTTTCATTTCAGTCATGGAAAAATGTGGATTTGGGGTTACTTTTTTTTTTTAAACCAAAAATTGGGGATTTATTTTTTTTAAGTCAGAGAAAACCAGGATCCCTGAACTGAACTCCTTTGTAAAGCACTTAGATAACTATTGCTGAAAAACAATATAGAAAAATTAGCTCATTTTAAAAGTTTCTTAACCATTCTGTAACTGCCACCCATTAAGAGGGCATTACTCATTTGAGGACTCTTCACCACCTCTCATTCTTTTTAATGTGCTCCTTGTTGGCCAAGAGGCAAATTATTTTTCTGTTAGCTCAGCCCCTTCCCCATCAGGCCAATGCCTTCAGGGACAGAGCTTAGGTAGGAAGATAACCAATGTAGTCTGAGAGAAAAATACCAACTGGTGGGCCCAGATAACAGCCCCATGAAAGGCCAGCATAGGAGTTGGCAGATTTCTTTTTAGCCCACCCCATGGGCCCTTCAGAAATCCCAAGCCACTACCCATCCTCAGGGGACTGTCTGATTCCATTCCCGATGCAGATCAGCTCCCCACAAAAATGTTTTCTTTCTATGAGAAGTATTCAGTCAGACCACATAGAGAAACACCTCTGCTTCAAGAGACATTCTAAAGCCCTTGAACTGTTTTTCATACCCACAAAGAATGCATATATTTGAGGTTACTGGTGCATTTTCGGCATTCACAAGTGAACTGCAATATAGTTTTGAAACAGTTCAAAGCCATGTGGACACGCTCAGTGACAGAACAGTCCATTAGACAGTGTAATTCTTTGGCAGGCAATACACAAGAACTTGGGTTGGGGCTTCTCTTTATCCACCCTCCATCCTGATTTTGAATATTTGTTTATATTATCTGAATTCTGCAGGAAGTCAAATAAAAGTCAAAAGTCCTCCCAAGCCTAACAGCTCATCAGGCTATACCAGATTCTACTGCCAAATGCCTACAAGGGAGTAATGTGTCTAGAATCACATCTGATTACTTTTGACTCCTCAGCTTGAATGACCAGGTATCTATTAATAGCTGGGTCAGCTGGGGGAAACCTCTGGCACGAGACCAGAGTCGAGCTTCAAACTCGCACTTCCTATAGGAACCCTTCCATTATTCCTTAGAATTCTACCACTGTACCCCAACCTATATATGCTGAGGCTGCTGGTCTGGTGAGCCTCTTGCATCTGAAAATCTATATTTAACAAGGTGCAATATGAATCTAGTGCATGCCATGGATGCAACACTTAGGTTCTCTATGGGTACAGTGAAAGTGTTTAAGATTCAAATGTTGTGAAGTGCCTCTTACGCATGAAGAAAGGATGAGAAAGGTGTCACTGTAAATATTTAAACAGTTTGAAGTGTAATAGCTTGATGCAAAAAGAGGCATTTGTACAGCCCCAATAAATACATTTCCAGAAGGGTCCTGAAACTCCCAGTTGACAGTGAAGACACACAGAAACACCCTAGGCAAAGGACAATACATTTCTTTTTCTAAGTGCCATGAAACACTATGTTTCAGAGGTACAAGGTTGTAGCTTTGTTGGTCTAACGACACAGGCAGACAAGGTTCTTTGGATAAATTTGATATCTTTTATTAGACCAACTCAAATAGTTGGAAAAATTCTTTTTTGCAAGCTTTCAGGTACAAAGGATAGGACGAAGGGTATTTGTACCCAAAAGCTTGCAAAAAAGAATTTTCCCCAACTACTTGAGTTGGTCTAATAAAAGATACCAGATTTATCCAAAGAACTTTGTCTTACTATGAAACACTGTGCTAAATTTGCACCTTTCTGGAAAGCCTTCTATTGAACAGGCAGAAGATATTCTGGGTTTAAGTGAGCAAAACATTTACTTGGAGGTCTTTCAAAATAGAAGGATGATTTCAGTGTTCTGTCACTGCTGAATATCACTAATTAAGCAGAAATTTGGACTCTCTCACTGTACTTGTTCACTTTATGTCTCTATTCTGTGTTTAAGCCTCACTTCTACTAAAGATAGATTGTGAAAATTAATGATTTACATTTTTGAAGCACTTAACTGCCACTAATCTTCACAGCTTCCCTGTGACATAAGGATTACATGCTTTTATATATGGGGAAAAAATAATTTCTCTGCTACAAGTGAGCTATATCAGATTTCAAAAGGAATCTATCACAGATGACGGATTAAAAATGCCTACCTTCTTAGCTCCTAGTTCAATGTTTGCCTACACTCTATCATAATGAGACTGAGGGCAGACTAGCTGGATCAAAATGACAGGATTTAAGATGATTTTAAAAAAAAGAGAAAAGAAAAGAAAAAGGACCAAAAGGACAAGTTTCCACTTCTTATAAGTGTCCTTTTTGTGATTTAGTTTACTGAAGAGTTCCCTGCTAAGCCAAGCTGGTCTTCTGCCATACTTGCTAGTCTTCCTGAACATTGGCATGGTTTATTTCTGCACTCTCAGTAAGATTTCTTTAAAGTACAACCAGCTCTCCTGGACTCCTCTCCTCCTCAGACTGGCTTCCCAGGGGATCCTGCCAATCAGTTCCCCAGGTGAGTCAAAGTCTCTTTTTCTAAAGTCCAGGGTCCTTGCTCTACTGCTGTCCATCCTTCCTTGCCTCAGGATCCTGAACTCAGTCATCTCATGGTCACTGCTGCCCAAGTTGCCATCCACTACTGTATTCCCCACCAATTCTTCCCTGTTTGTGAGCAGCAGGTCAAGAATAGCACAGCCCCTAGTTGGCCGCTCCAGTGCTTGCACCAGGAAGTTGTTCCCAACACACTCCAAGAAGTTCCCAGATGGTCTGTGCACTATTTCCATGAGATGTCAGGGTGACTGAAGTTTCCCATGAGAACCAGGAAGTGTGATCAGGGAAACTTCCACTAGCTGCTTAAATAAAGCCTCATCCATCACTTCCTCCTTGTCTAGTGGTCTATATCACACACCCACCACAACATCACCTTTGTTGCTCTCCCCTGTAACCTTAACCCTGAAACTTTCAACAGGCCTATCTCCAGTTTCATCCTGGAGCTGTAAGCAATCATATGGCTCTTTTACATAAAGTGCAGCTCCTCCTCCTCTTCTTTCTTGCCTGTCCTTCCTGAACAGGTTGTACCCATCCATGACAGTGCTCCAGTCACGTGAGCTATCCCACCACATCTCTGTTTATCCAATCGCATCATATTTCATGGCGGTGCAAGGACTTCCAATTCTTCCTGCTCGTTTCCCAGGCTCTGTGCATCTATGTACAGGTACGTGGGGTAACTAGTCGATTGACCTGATTTCGCAAGAAGTATGAGAACACCTCCCCTGTTGCCCCCTCCAGCTTGCTTTTCCTTTAGGTCTCCCACTTCCCGTTTACCCCAGGGCTTTGGTCTCCATCCCCTGATGAATGTAGTTTAAAGCCCTCCTCACTAGGTTAGCGAGCTTGTCTGCGAAGATGCTCTTCTCTCTCCATCAGCTGGATCCCATCTCTTCCCAACAATCCTTCTTCTTGGAACATTAACCCACGTTCAAAAAAGCCAAATCCCTGCTGGCGGCACCACCTGTGCAGCCATGTATTGATCTGCAGGACATACCTGCTCCTGCCTTGGCCGTTTCCCTTGACCGGAAGGATCCAAGAAAACATGACCTGAGCCCCAGACCCTTCACCCTTGCACCCAGAGCCCTATGGTCACTTTTGATTCACTCAGGGTCTCCTGTGGCAGTATCACTGGTGCCCATGGTAGCTTGTTAACTCTTTCCTGGCCAGCATGGGCATTGCAAGTCATTCTTCCCTTCCCTTCCTTATCTTTACATGCATCATCGCTTCAGTGTGAATATAGTAGGAATGCCCCGAGTACGAGTACAGCATCAGAATACCAACCAGCCAGCCAATACAGAAGATTTAATATTTTATTTTTCTTAACAAAGTGGTTTCTTTGCCATATGTTTAGAAAAGTAAACAACTGCATTACATTTGTTTAAGAGTATTGTGAAGTGCTCTCCCTTGGACATATACAAGAAAAAAATGCAATCTAAATCAGTATAGATACATTTCTGAAAATACAATGTGTTTTATATGTCAAGTTAAGTATTAATATTTTGTTTAAAAATAACCATGTAAAAACATCTTTGGAGAACTATAAAATACTGTTAAGTGCTTATCCCAGACTATAAAAACCACAGGAACCATTTTAAACTCAGTTTAACTGAAAGAGGCTTTCCTTGTTGAAGGGAAGTTTAGTTATGAACTGTAGTTGTGTGGCATAACAGTTACTTTCTGAAGTTTGTTTTAAAAATTATTCTTTAACCTATTCTGAAGGAACTAAATAGCTTATGTAATAAAGTGGAGAAGTAAGTAGTAGGCCCCAGTCCCAGAAGCAAGTATAAATGAGTTCAGTTTTACGCAAGTAAGTCTCATTAAAGTAAACAGGACGATTCATGCTCATAAAATTGCTCGTGTGTGTTATTAACAGTCCCATTCATTTAAAAAATATCCAATTCCTACACCACAGAGGATATATAAAAAAGGCAGAAGGCTGTAAAAGTTAATTCAAGTGGAAGTGTAGGCCATATCTTTTAAATGCTTTGGCAGTGAATGAGTAATATCAAATAAAAATATTATCATGGACAGTTCAGCTCTGAAGAAAACCATGATACAGGACATGTCATAAAATTAGGACAGTGTTTCTAAAAAACAAATAAATCTTTGTCAGCAAACTATTAAGACAAGTGGTTAGTTAAAACACTTTAGAAGTTACATTAAATGGTATTCAGTAAATTAACATACCATATCAAAATAACTAATTCTTTGGTAAGGTCATAAAAGATACATTCGGTGAATATACTTCTGTACTACAGCATTCATATTATGAATGAAAACTGTTCATAGCATGGATATATTTTTGGCACAATGCACTTAAATGAAAGTAATTAGGTCATACAGGTATGTAATTTAAGTGCATATCAAGGCAACTGCTTAATAGAAATGCCCATTGAGATATATTAATGTAACAGTAACTGCAGTACTGTATACATACTGACCATATATTTAAAATACTTTTCCATTGTAACTTACAGAATCAAGGTTCACTTTCCAAAAAAATTTTGTAAGAAATATAGCAAAGAAATAAAGTACAGGAAATCAGAGCTTCCTTATATATCATTTTTTAAATCTGCTTGTCGCAATCATCGGTATTACATAAAACTGGAACTGAAAAAGAGAAACAAAAAGCATGTTATTAAATCTCTTCAGATGAATAAAGTAAATATACAGACAGTATAAACACTAGAATTGTTCAAAGCAGTACAATTCAGGCACCCCAGTTTTCTGCATCTTGTGTGGTTCTTACAGAAGAAATAAAGGAAAAATACAATAGCCATGTAGTTTACCAGAAGCAATACATGTCAGCAAAGTAGAAGCAGAATATCACTGTACACATAGAAGTCAAGCCCAATCCTGTTTAGTTGGTCTAATAAAAGATATCACATCTACCCAAACAACTTTGTCTGCCTATGTCCTTAGACCAACACAGCTACAACCAACAACTCCACCTACTCCTGTTTGACATGTGTGCCTGAATAACCTCTACCTTTTCTTGGCTAGTGAAATGTATCTGTGCATCAGGTCAAAAATGTTTTCAGTTTCAGTGAAGCTGACACAAACCAACAAAGCATACTTAATTACAGTTAAGTTATAATCCACGACATCAAAATTATATTTTATAAACAATATTAATTATATGATGGCATTGGCTGGTTTTGTCACCTCCACAGTTGAAGTGTATTTTCTGTGGATCACTTTTATTTCTGTAAACACATTAGTTTTGCAACAGTACTTTGGAGTTCTGCTTTTTCAAAGTACCTCTAGAATTCCAGTTTTTTCTAGCTTTGTGGGGGATCACGGAGAGTGCCGCAAGTTCCAAAAAGGCATATTCTACAGCAGTGGTCTTCAACCTTTTAAAGTAGAAGATCACCTTTGGCATTTAAAAGCAACCCAAGATCCACCATGTGCCACTGCCTCCCTGCTCCCCCCTGCCAGCCCAGCAGGTTAAGTCTGCAGGGAGGGAAGGGGGGGCGGAGGGGGCAGATCAAGGCAGACAGAAAAAATTATTTGGGAGCACCCCTCCCCAGCAGGTAAGTCCCACCCACCCGGGACCCCACTCAACTTACCCCTGCTCCTGCCTCTACAGCACTGTCCCTCACCGTGGGGGCCTCAATCAAGCCCCCACCCCTTCCCTCCCCAACGGACTGACCTGCTGGGCTGGGGGGCATGTGTGCATGCACGTGGGAACTCAGCTGTCCACCCCAGCCTCAGATCAATTCCAAGAGGCTCCAAGATCTACCGCAAGAGGCTCTGAGATCTACTGGTGGATTGAGATCCACTGGTTGGTGACCACTGTTCTAGGGAATGTTCAGTTTATAGTACAATTGCATAGACAAGTTACAAAGTCCTAAAGTTTGGGATTTGTAAGCAGACTTGACAACAGTTATGACCAGGGATCCTGTTTTTTCTCTGATAAAAAATATCCCCAATTTTCAGGTTAAAAAAAGTAACCCAAAATCCACATTTTTCCATGATCAAAATGAAACACCACTCTGTGTGTGTGTGTGTGTGTGTGTG